ATTCCCTGATCAACATTTAAAATCCCCTCATACAAATAATTATAGATACAATCCGTGTATAGTTACTGTAGTACCCTTTTCAACTTCTCCCATACACTGTGGTTAGTGATAAGATTGTTAAATTATTTTTATAAACAATCTTTAAAAACATAATTTATATATTAAAAAAATCTAAAATAAATATAAATATTTATAATTATCTCATGCATAGCATGGGTGATAGGCTAGTATTATATAAGAAAAATGGAGTTTCTAACCCATAAGCCTTATGAGAGCTCCAATATCTCAATCTTAATTTTCTAATTTTTTGATTTAAAAAAAAAAAGAAGCATTTATTGATTTCTTCCAACCCACAAACTCTTTTGACTTCTCCCAACCCACAAGTCTTTTTGACTTCTTTTTATACCTACTGCTGCACCATTTTCAACTTCTCCTATACACTATGGTTAGTGATGAGATTGTTAAATTATTTTTATAAAAAAATCTAAAAAAAATAATTTTGTATATTAAAAAAATATTTAAAACAAATATAAATTCTTATTAAATCTATCTATCTATCTGTGTATTATATAAATAAAAGAGGGTTTCTAACCACAAGTCTTATAGGAGCTCCAATATCTCAAACTAAAATTTCTAATTTTTTGATTATAAATAATTTTAAAAAAAAAATCCTCTACAACTCTCATTCAAGTAAAATAAATAAATAAATAATTAATTAATTAAAATCTCTTAATTTATGACTTTTAAATGGAAAGTATATCAAATATATAAAATAAAAAATAAAAAGTATACTAATCCATTTCAAAATTCAAATTTGAGGGGCACTAAATATGGAGAGCATTTCATTAATTTAAATTTAAAATTATAATGATTTATCCCATAATATCTAAGTTTTAAATAATGATCTATTCCACGATTTATCTATATATCTATATACTATTATAATTGCAAAATATTGTCATTTCATTAAGGTTGAAAGTTATAATTCTTTTTTCTCATTTTTTAAATTTTTTTAAAATTTTTTGTTAATACATGTTACAATATGATTAGTCTATAAATTAATTTTATATTCTTAAAATAAAATTTCAAATTTAGATTTTTACTTAAATTATGTTATTATAATTGGAATAAGATCAATATTCATTCCTTAAATTTTGCATCATTTATTAAATTATAAAATCAAATTTCAAATTTAAATTCTTCTTCAAGTTATATTACTACAATTAGAATGAGATCAATATTCACATGTGTCATAATGATGTGTCATAACATTATTGGCCTAAATATAATTTGTTTTAAATACATGTGTTCAAATTATTAATCGCTATCAATTTTTTTTTTGTTTTAAATTTTATAAAAAAATTTATATCTTTTTAAACTATAAGGACTTGAACAATAATATTTTTTAATATAATTTTTTTTAAACAAAATAACAAAATGTAAACTTTTTAGTACTTACTAAACATGGTGGATTTTGTTAGATTTTTTTTTTTAATTTCCAATTGTCAATTAAAGAAATTAAAATAAAGAATAAAGATATCTTTGGCTCAAATTGTTAAAAAGTTACTTTTGCTAAAATAAATTAGAAAGAATCGTTAACTTTTTTATTATTATTAAAAATGATAGTTCGTTTAACTTTTTTCATTTAAAAAAGAAAAATAGAATTATATGTGATAATTTATTGTTCATCTAGATTTATTTTTAGATTAACTGAGAATGTCATATTAAATTTTCTTCTTACCTTTTTTTATTCAAATACTTTTATTTTGTAAGAAATTTGTTTTTATTTTATTTAATATTTTATTGTAATTTTTAAATTAAAAATAATTTCTAAAAAATCATATTTAAATTATTTATGCCATTATAAAAAGTAAATTCTTTTAATATCAACTTAATAGTAGTTTGTGAAGTGCTACGTATATTTTTTCACTTTTGACGAAAATATGTATAGAAAAGTGGAGATATGATGTGACCTAAAAAAGATAATTAAGTATATTTTTTTACTTTTTACGAAAAGATAAATAGAAAAGTAAAGATGTAATGTGACTCAAAAAAGATAAAAAGATAAAAAAAAGTGAACTAATATGGCACTTCCCAAACAACCCTTTATTCATCCCTTTCTAAAAAGTGTATTTTTTAAATATTTTCAAGAAAAATTCTATTGGAAATCTTAAGTATATTGTTTTTTATTTTGTTCATTAATATTAAATTTTTAATTAAATTTAATTATTATTTTAAAAAATAAATTAGCAAATAATTTATATATATATAAAATTTTGTTTTGGTTGTTCAAGTTATTTGGTGTTTCTGCCCAAGTCTACTAAAATTTAATTTAAAATTTTAAATTTCTGCATAGGTCCTCACTTAATTAAAAATTATGTTGTATCTTTAAAAATTTGTAAGCTCGATTCAACTTGCATGGATTGAGCTCACTTAAGTTTACAATTCTAACAAGGGAGATTAAAAGTTATATGATTAAATTTGTGACAAATTAAAAAATAATAATTAAATTGTGAGATTTAAATTATAAATTTCAATTATCTTTATTTTCATAATTTACATACAAAAATTTAAATATTTATATTATTTTATATAAAAATATATTATTAATTTTTTTACATGTCGTCCATCGCACAGATCTTAAAATAAAACAATTTTACCATTATGTCAAAAAAAAACTAACCTTTGGATCAAAAAAAAAAAATAAAATTGGATAAAAAAAAAACTAACCCTTTTTTTTTATTAAAAAAAAAAAATCCACATGGGAATGGAACGTGTAAGGCAAATCTAAAAGGAATATGCCATTGTAAGTTCAATACAAACTAATATTAAAAAATAGCATACCCACGTTTGGAGTGCCCATTTTTTTTTGCTTTTCTTTAAATTAAAAGAAAAAGAAGAAGAAAATTAGTGGTTGAGTAATTAAGAGTTGTTTGAAATGATATAAATAAGTGTATTTTTTATTTTTTTATGAAAAGATGTGTAGAAAAGTAAAGAAGTGATATGATGAAAAAAAAGATAAAAAAATAAAAAGATAAATTATTTTTGAATTGTTAAACTTGACCTTCGATGAAAAAGAGAGAGAGAAAAAAAAAAAAAAAAAGAGAGAAGGTAGAAAAAAGAAGGTTCCATAATGGTGGTGTGAATGCGAAAGCGATTACACGACATGGTCTGGTCAACCTTTACTTTCAATAAACAACAATAATAATAATAAATGAATAAAAAGTAATTGTTCAAGAAATGGGAAGCTAGCTGATGTAATCTGCAGTTGAAATCTTGAAGGAGACTACTAAGCTGCCGTCACATTTGAAGCAATCAAACATTTAAAATTGAATATTTGCTTTAAAAAAAAAGTCCTTAAAAGAACATTTGTGTTACACAAAAAATTGCCCAGGTACACTTTTTATTTTTTTTAATCTTTTTTAGGCTATATCATATCTCTATTTTTTTACATATTTTTTTTATAAAAAATTAAAAAATATATTTATTTAGATTATTCTAAATAAAATTGTCCTGAATCCCACAGAATAATAAGGGTTGGTTTGGGGTGTACTAAAAAAGTGCACTTTTTGTCTTTTTACGAAAAGATGTGCAGAAAAGTAGAGAGGTGATGTGATGAAAAAAAGATAAAAAGATGGATTATATAGTAGATGAGAAACAAGGCTTAACATACAAGGCCACATAGTATATGAAGAAAAAGAAATTATTTGAATAATTACTATAAAAAAAAAAAAACTGAGAATTTGACCCTTGTAACAATATAAATCTTAAGCTTTTAATTTTGTTAATTTAAACTCTAAGTTTTTTATTTGTTTTCAATCTAAACTATTTTCCTATTTTCATTAACAAAAATTGACGAAAAAAAAAATTTAGTCATTAAACTCAATGTAGATACATATAAAATATTTAAAATACCAATTTTCATTGAGTTTAATGACTAAAACACAATTTGTTAGTCGATTTTACTTATCGGAAATAGACAAATAATTAAGATTGGAAACAAATAAAAAATTCAAAATTTAAATTGATAAAATAAAAAATACAAGATTTATTTTGTTTTAAAGGTCAAAATCTAGGTTTTTTTTAATCTATAATTTTTCCAAAATTAATTTAGTTATTAAACTATTATACTCCGCTATTTTATAACTGTCGAAGTCAAATAATAATTTTTAATGATATCAAAAATATATTTTAATTAACAATTCTCATAATTTTATTGTTATATAAAAGAATAATTAAAAAAAAAAATTATTTTACATAAAATTTTTAAAATTTCTAATATATTTATAAAAAAATTACACGACTTTACATAAAATTTTTAAAATTTCTAATATATTTATAAAAAAATTACACGACTTTACATAAAATTTTTAAAATTTCTAATATATTTATAAAAAAATTACACGACTTTACATAAAATTTTTAAAATCTCTAATATATTTATAAAATATGCTTTTTAGTTCAATAAGGTAAAATATTACATCCAATTCATAATTATTATATTTTTTTCTCATAAAAAGCTCAAAAAATTCTTCCTAAACAAGATGTTTTAGCCCAAACTAAATAGGTGTTTCATATGTACTAAAAAAATACATTTTTTTTACATATATAAATTTATTTGAGGTACATTAATCAATATATTTTCTCTATTTTTCTTTAGGGGTTGTTTGGAGTGTTGTAAATAAGTGTACTTTTTATCTTTTTAGACTAAAAAATTGAGGAAAAAAATATGGATGTTTGGGTTAACTTTTTGATTTTTTATAGAAAAATGTATAATAAAAAATTATAAAAATTAATTTGTAAGTAAAAATTAAAATTGAGAGTTATGCAGCCGTACTTTTGATAAATAATGTTAATTTTTTAACTTTTTTATAATATGTCAAACTTAACCTTACTTTTTCTATTTTTCTATACATTCTTTTTATAAAAAATAAAAAAATACTTAAAGCATCCCAAATCACCACTGAAATAATCAAAAAGCAAAGAGTCAAAAAAATCCAACCTGAACCCATAGATATATAGAAGGGGAGCTGAGAAGAGGAGAGAAGAGAAGGAAATGTTAGGGTTTATTTTTGCATTCATTGCTTAGGTATTAAGGTGAAGAGAAGGGTGAAGTAGTTCAGACTTCTAAACACAAAAGCACAAAAGCATCCACAAAACAATACAAAAGAGTCAAATTCAAGAAAATCTCTCTCTCTATCTCTCTCCTCTCCTCTCCTCTCCTCTCCTCCGGGCTTAATGTGAGTATTCACCGGAACCCTAACTCTCTCTCTCTCTCTCTCTCTCTCTCTCTCTCTCTGTGGGTATTAGTGTATATTTCGATTTTACATTTGCTTGAATTTTGTTCTGTCAAAAATTGTCCAATTTCCTTTGCGACTTCATTTTTGTTCATTGAATTTTTTCTCCCCTTTTTGGGGACATCTTGAGCTTCTTGTATTTATTGGTAATGGTTTACAAAAAAAATTATTAAAAAATAATAATAATACTAAAAGAAATGGCCAAGGAAGCATATGATAGGTATTTAAAGTTTTAATGGGTACTGAGGTGTATAGTGAAGACAAGAAAGAAAGATAGCCCTCTTAACTCCTTCATACCCATATAATATACCAATTGAATATTGGGGGATTAAACTACTTGGAAATTAGATTTTCTTGAAATTTGTATGTTTTGTGTGTTTGGTAGAAAATTAGATTCTTTTTTGGATTTGAGGAATACTTGAAACAGCTCAAAATCTAAAAATTATAGCATCACATGTGATTAAAATTCGGATCTGAATTTCTTGTTAACCCTTTAAAGGTTTGAGTATAATAGTATAGCTGGGTAATTCACTGTAGAGAAGAGATTTACAAAAATGATCAGGTGGGTCGGGAATTCTAGCGTGGCCGTGTGCCCATCCAATGGCACATGATCATGTGGTCACTTTGGTCCTATTTTTATTTTTATTTTTTATTTTTTATTTTTTATTTTTTTGTTGAACAACGGTCACATGCCCCCATTATTGGGTTGGCACATAGCGTCACGGTCGTCCCAGAACACCAGATTACTTCTTGTGGATTTAAGGGTGAGTAGAAAGGTGATTTATTGTGAGCTTGCATTCAGATGGACAGATTTGTAATGAAGGTGTTTGGGTTTAAATTGAATATCAGTGTTGGTTATTGGTGTTAGATTGGGAGGCCTAATGAGGATGGTGAAGGAAAGACAAGTATTGTATTTTATTAAGACTATTTGCAACTAGAATCCCTCACCTTGGTATTTAGAGTGCACACATATAGAGCTCTCACATCTATCCATGCATCTTGTTCAAATGTAGATCCTTACTTCAAATCTAATTGTAAATTCTCTTCTAAGCTATACCCTTTGGATGATTAAATACCATTCATTTGGAAACCGTCAATCTAAATGCAATCTAAGGTCCCATTTGATTGCAAAAAAAAATTCGTCAATCATGAAGTCAAGTGGGGAATATACTAGCTACCTTTTGGAGATAATTCTGTTTCTTAAATACCGTTTTGTGATGAATGATGACTTTTGTTTTTATTCCTAAGTTATCTATTGCAATAAATGATGAGTTGAAAGGTTGTATCCCTAGGGCTGAGGGCCAAAGGCCAGGGGAACCAGTTTCCTTCTGTTATTTACTGTGATTAAGTTCTGTTCAAGGCTTCTGGAATAAAAGATATGTGGCTGTGACAGATTCCACCTAAGAAATACTCAATCTATCATTTTTGTTTTAGTAATTACTGCTATTTAGTTTTGGGAACTTCAAATTGATCAAAACCATTCACTGGTAGTAGTAAGTATCTGGGTGCTTTCACTGCTTTATGAACTCTTCTGTATGCGAGGTTTTCTTGTGCTGCCAGCCTGCTTCACTGGCAAATCATGTACAAAACCTTCTGAGCTGGGGTTTTCTTGTTCTTCTACCTATGGAAAACAAAATACAAAATCTCATCTCCTAGGCTTCAAGTAAGGGGATCTTCCCTGTAAATACTTGGAACTACATCTTATGTTATTTACATCAAGAGCTGATGATTACAAGCCTTTGTTTGGTAGGATTTTAGTAGAATAGAGTCGTAGACAAGCCAAAAGTCTATTTTTTTTAATCCCTTTAGTGGATTTTGTAAATACTCCTTGGTTTTGAAGTATATTAGGGTAATGGTTTCTTATTTGTGGAAAAGGTGACATAGCTCACTAAAAAATAAAATGGTGAGACAGTGAGCTGCCCAACAGTCTGCATTTCCAAAGACATGGTGTTCTTGGTATGACTGTCCAAGCTACTGCTATTAGTGGATTGTGGGTTTATTATCACTTTCATTGATGAAGAAATTTTCTGTCTATACACATTCCCTCAAACTGCTTGCTGGCATGGATGAAAATTCTAAATTATAGAACTATTCTTGGACCTTTTGTTACACATTTGGTATCACTACTGGCTAACATAAATCTTTGATATGAAAACTGGCTGCTGTTGGCTTCTTGATGGGACAACTGATGGTTCCCTGGAAAACCCAAGATCAATAATATTCTTGTCAATAATCGATGAATATGCTCTGAAAGTATCGCAGCTACTCCACAGAACCTTCACATTAATCTTTCTAGTTTCTCCGGACTTAAAACACACACACACACACGGAGGAGAAGAGTAAAGAAAGAAGAATACATCTGGTTTCTAATTTTCTTTCATAAATGATGCAATTTGTGGTAGACTGCTCCAATTTTATTCAATATAAATATCATATGTTGTGTGTTATATTCTGTAGAGCAAATTCATCTCTCTGTTGCATGTTCATTTGCCAGTAACATTTGGAAGAGTAACTTGAAATGGTTTAGTAATTGGATGTTTGGGCAATGATGACTGGAGAGTCAGATTGAGCTATACTAACTGCTTGAGAGATTAGTCTCTCCTTTTTCACTAAGAACACTAGCATTTGCTGGTCCAATTAATTGAGATAATTGATACCCTCATACATGCACCATCTGATATTGGCTTATGCATTTTATGGCTTAAAAAGAGATAGTAAAGGAGGAGGGAGTATAAGAAGTATCAGTGGGGTGTATGTTACCTCGTAACTCTCATAATCCTAAACTATTGAGCTAATTTGTAATTAGAGACCTGGGGTAAGCTTGACATAAATATGTCGCTTGCATTATATTAAGATGTGGAAAACCATAGGGTCAAGCATGAAAGATTTTGATGTTCTAGTTACATCCTTTATAACATGTGGTGAAGTGACATTTCTTGTATTGTATCTAATGATTCACGCTGTTGGGCCTATGTAGTTTCAGTAGTCCTGATTTAGAAATTGTTTTAATATTTTGTCCTCCTTGTGTGCTTGATTTTGGATTATTCATAGTTAATATGCAATTTTTTTTAATTGAAATCTGAATAATGTACACATGCATGCCTTTGTTGGAGCTAACAGCACATTCATGTTTTATTGACAGATTTCTGGTGTCTTTGTGAAGATGCCAGATTCAGCTGAGAAGTTGGAGAAAGACAGTTTGAATGGTGAGAGTCAAGTGAGGGAAGATAGTGAGTATGTAAGATTGGTTATCTCAGATGAACCAAGAGTAGCTGAAGCTGATACCTTACCTCAAGCTCAAACAAAATATAATTGGTGGATCAAGACCATTTTTTGGTGCTTTGTTACTATATTAGTTCTTCTCATTTTTGTGAAATGGGGAGTACCATTTCTTTTCGAAAAGGTACATATACTGGCTTCTTTTTTTTTTTTTTGTGTGTGTGTGTGTGTGTGTGTGTGTGTGTGGTGAGTTACCATATGTACATATCAAAACATGTGATAATGTCAACATCATTCATTCTTTTCCATATATCAGTATTTTGCCCCCAGTTAGTATTCACGAATCACTCAATGTGCAACTGCAAGCTTGTGATCGGATTTCTTCCTGTTCATAGCAGGCATATCACGTGGGAAAAGTAGCATTTTGTTTTGAATATTATCTTTATCATTTATTTAAATTTTGTGCTTTTATTTTTGGTCCCTTGGCATCATTTGAAGTACTTGAATTTTGCACATTTTCCTTTTTGTTTGCATACTCCATACAATTATCCACTTTGTATGGCCATGGCATCTTGTGTGGGGTTAAATTTTCATAGAGGGTGTCAAGTGCTAAAAGCCTGAAACTATCCACGTTGGTGGAAAGCATGTTTCAAGAGAATAATATGCAGCTAGTTACTAGCGGTTATTATTGTTGTTTTTGTTGTTGTTTGGCTTTTTACTTGTCCTGCATTCATTACTGCTTTCATTACGATCACCTTTTTTGCTGGCATTCAAGTTTCTGCATAAATTTTATAACAAACCTATGATATTTCAAATGAATGGGAGCACATAAGCACAACATGAATTAGATGATTGGAGGAAGGTGTTTGGACGTTCCATGAAATCTGAATCAGCAGAACATTTTTATTTGGCATTTGAACCCAGATGTGGTACCATGTGGTATATTTTAAATTTGTAATGGGGTGACCTCAGTTGAAATTATATCAACCATGGGTCAAAGTTTGTTTCAATTGTGTCCCCAGGTTTGCCTGTTGTTTTGTTATTGATAAGTATGTTCTCAGGCTTTCTTATTTGAGGAAAGCTTTGGGAATGCGACAGTAACTACTTTAAATTTTTGGAATTTTCTTGTAGCAATTGGAGACATAAAATAGAACTTATACTGTTTGGAGGATTAGCACAGAAATTATGAACTGACTGCTGTGCAGATATTTTCTCTCTCTCTCTCTCTTTTTTTCTTCTTTCTTTTTTTGTTTTTTTTTTCTTCATATTTTCCCCTTCGTGGATAAGTGAGGTTATTATGTACTGGAAAATGAAGTACAAAACTAAGAGATACACCCTTTCAGTTGAGTTCTAGGAATTTTATCTTTGTGGGTGTCAAACTAGGATCTTAATGGTAGATTTTTTTAAATATTTTATTCATTGAATAGTTGCTATTTTAGACATTAATAAACTTAAGTATTATCTTTTAGATATGTTGTACTAGGAAGCAAATTTATTGATTACTCGTCACAATTAAGGTGTACTAAGATTAGTATAGTTTTTAGTGATTGTGCATTATATAAAACCTTATATGAGAATAAGGAAACTTGAGCATTTTGTTAAATATTACTATTAGTGAAGACCTTTTGTTGAATATTAGATTTTCTTACTACTTTAAGTTGGTGATGCATCAATACAAAAATACAGGCATGTTATAGATAAAAAACAAAGCCCTTCTATTAAATTTCTGAGTCAAGATTTGTACACATACATACATATATATTTGAAATTCAAAAAAAAAAAAAGGAAAAAGAAAAAAGAAAAACATATTGACCTTTGGTTATGAATATGTGATTGTTTGTGTCAAGTTGCATTGACATTGACTGATGTTACTATGTTAGAATTTACCATTCACACTCACCTACTACACTCCACCTACCACCAATTTACCCTCACCTACTCCTCACCTACTACCCAAACCCTCTCCTATATAATGAGCCACTCTGATTTGTAATACAACAATCTTGTAGAACATCAATCAATAATACATCAATATAATACATATATTTTTACATGGTATCAGAGCAAGGTTAAAGATCTTGGTGTTCTTCGCCTTCCGGCGGGCGGCAACCTTGCCTTGACCGCCCGCCGGATCTCAACCAATTCAAACCTCTCTCTATTTTCTTCTCCAAGATTCAGAAGAAATGCCAACATCCTGGCACCTCATCTTCCTCCCCTTCTTGTTCATGTCTCTCTCTTTTACAGATGGGACTCACCTCATAGTTGTGAACAACTGCAAGGAAACCATATGGCCCGGAATCCTCGGCCAATTCTCGTGCCAAACAGGGTACTGTTCCGCCCTCTTACACTGCACCGGCACCGGTGGCCATCTCGATTACAGTGCAACCCCAGAACAGCAACAACCGATGACCACTACCACGCATCTTCTATATCCCGAACAACAGCACACGCCAGCAAGACTGGCAGTAATGGAGCTCCGGCATTAACTATCACATTTGTCTCTCTCTAAGAAACTAGAGAGAGAGAGATCAGCTTTTTCCCTTCGGTTTAAACCCCTTTTTCATTTTTTTTAATTTATGTTCTGTTTTTTCCTTTATCACCCCACTCTCTTCTTTTCTTTGAACATATAAAACCCATGCATCACACACCCGACAAACACACCACAAACAGTTTTTTAATCCACACACTCCCACTTTCTCTATTTTAATAAGATGAGTGCCTCACTTTTCCACCAAACATACATGCACGCACTACCCTTGTTTTACTTTTTTTATTTCTTTATTTTTTTCTTTACATCACTTTACACCCACTCTCTCTCCTAACTTTTCTCCACCACCCAACACCATCGTCACATTTTCCACCACCCACTTTTTTATCTTTTATTTCATAAATTTCTGTATTTTCTTGTTTATTTTTATGTATTTTCTTGTTTTGTTCCTCTATTCAAACTCAAGTTGGTTAGTTTCTATCCTCCTTGAGTTTGCGGGGGGCTGTTAGAATTTACCATTCACACTCACCTACTACACTCCACCTACCACCAATTTACCCTCACCTACTCCTCACCTACTCCTCACCTACTACCCAAACCCTCTCCTATATAATGAGCCACTCTGATTTGTAATACAACAATCTTGTAGAACATCAATCAATAATACATCAATATAATACATACTATTACTTGCTTTTAACACTTGTGACTTTTTAAATTCCATTTCAGGCTCCTAAATTGGACACATTTGTATTTATTTGATGGAAGTGTCTCAAATCTTAATTATGTTCTCAATGCTATATTATTTAGAGTATTTCTGTTATGAAGAAAAACTAAAATTGAATTTTACCTATATGGCAGCACTAAACCTTGAATTTATTCATTTTGCTGTAGGTTCTCCTTCCAATCTTGCAATGGGAAGCCACTGCCTTCGGTCGTCCAGTTCTTGCTATCGTACTTGTTGCTTCTTTGGCAATATTCCCTGTACTCTTAATTCCTTCTGGTCCTTCCATGTGGCTCGCTGGAATGATATTTGGTTATGGTCTTGGATTCGTTATAATTATGGTTGGAACAACTGTTGGCATGATCCTTCCATATTTGATTGGATTACTCTTTCGAGAACGAATTCATGTAAGAAGACATCAATAGATTCATAGTGATGATGACGAAATTGAATTGTCATATTTACTTTCAATGCCCTTTCTTGGTTTCTCTTTTTTCATCTTTCACTTAATCACTTGTGCAGCAATGGTTAAAGAGATGGCCTGAGAAAGCTGCAATGATTAGACTAGCAGGGGAAGGGAGCTGGTTCCATCAATTCCGAGTGGTTGCACTCTTCAGGGTTTCTCCATTTCCATACACAATTTTCAACTATGCAATTGTGGTGACGAGTATGAGGTTTTGGCCCTATTTATGTGGATCAATCACTGGAATGGTTCCAGAAGCCTTCATTTACATCTACAGGTTAGTTTTCTGAATTTTCTATGTAGTAGTTTTTTTACTTCTCTGGTTCGAAGATAGAATAAATGATACAGGGTAGTAGGGTGTCCAAAAAAAGTCATTGCATTGATGTTAAAATACGAATCACCACGAGAACTGTCTGATGATCTTTGAGGCATCACATAACCTCCACTTGAACCCTAGACTATACTTTTCAGGGGTAGGATCATATTCGGGGATGCATAAACCCAAATGATTGCTTCAGTGGGATTCTTTTGGGAATTGTGTTTTTTTTTTTTTTTTTTGGGTGGCTTTTTTTAGTTTGATTTCTTTTCGTCTTTTGTAAAAAAATAAAAAAAATAAAATAATAATAATAATAATAAATTAGAAATTGACTCAAATGACTGTACTTTTTAGATTCATCTTGACTAGATGATCTTAAAAATTAAAAAATGGATTTTTTTTTTCTAAAAAAAAAAGTTCAGAAACAACAAAAATTTGGCTTTTTAATAAAATTTGGCTTATTTTTGTTTTTAGTAAACCTTTTTCAAAATTGCCTCAAATTGTTATAATTTTTAGAATTGTCTAGTCAAGACGGACCCAAAGTGCAAAAAAGTCCAAGAAAAGTCAAAAATAAGTTGACTTTTTAGTTTTGCCAAATGAATATATACTAGCAGAGTATAGTTGTTGCTGATGCCTATTATTTGTGCTAAATTGTTGTTTATCTATTGCTTTTTGCTGTACTTGCGTGCAGCGGTAGGTTAATTAGGACGTTTGCAGATGTGAAGTATGGGAACCAACACTTGACTACAGTGGAAATTGTTTACAATGTCATTTCCTTAATTGTTGCAATCATTACCACAGTTGCTTTCACCGTCTATGCAAAGAGAACTCTGAATGAACTTAAGGGGGCGGAAACCACTGGCACCAACCACAGCAATAGCAACTTAGAGATGGAGAAGCTTCCACTTGAAAGGCCTAGGCATCTGGGTATCCTGGCATCCTTGTCATAGCTATAGCCTAGGACGGGTCGCTTTTTAGATTTGTTAAGTGTAGATAGTTGAAGGTCGTGAGGGTTTCTGTGTTAGATCCCTTGTATTTGTAATTAAGAGGGGGAAAAAAAATGAAAAGAAAACACAATATTCTGTAATACCATAAAATTGGAGAAAGGATGTGTGAGTATATTGGTGAGAAACGATGCGTTGTAGTAGTGCTTTGAATGACAAGGCACCCTTCCAAAAAAAGAGAGCAGTCAAGAGTTGAGATTTGAAGTTAAAAAGGACTTTGTTTTGGTATCTGCATTCGGACTCGAGTGATGACACCTAAACGACATCATTTTTTACTTTGCTTTGTTTATTTTAAAGCACTACAAAGAATGCACTACAGAGGATTCAATTTTCAATATCTTGAGGGTGGTGTGGTGGTCTCAACTAATGCTATTTGATGATCCAAAGGTAACTAGCAAAAAATCTTCTCATTTTAATGCTAGCCAAAGTTCAACTCAATATCCATTGAAAATTCTACTTCCTACCTGGATGAACCATTGATGTCAATTGCAATTGGCATATCTTTGGTGTTTTTGTTATTTATTTATTTATTTATTTTTGAAATGGTTGTTTCATGTTTATAAATTCTTCTTAAATTAGTTAATAAGCAAGAAGGTTGTATATGCATATTCATATTGTAGTTTTGAAGAACTTGTTTTTGGTAGTTTTGAAGTACCTTTCGAGCAAAATATATACCCTATGTTCAATGTAAAATCAGATTGAGAAAAAGACACATCAATGTCAAAATAACTGCAAATAACTGGCTGTTCTATTATTGCTCATAGGATTCCAGTATTACACAATTAGTTGGAAGTTTGGTATCAGATTACAAAGGAGTGTATTATTGGCTCAAGGAGCTAAGGTTATAGAAAAACACTTAAAATGGTAAGTGTAGTTTCTCTCCTTTGAAATATAACCCAGTTGACTTTCAATGTAGGGGAAATTAACATTCAGTTGAATCTAATTTATTATTTTGTTTCTTCGAAAAGGGGAGACTTAAAAAAGGTGAAAGATTACTTCATTCTTAGCAATTATTTACTTTATCGGTAGATAGGAGCATATTATGAATTGAAATTATAGGGAGCATTATATGATCATTTTTATTCATTTTTGTTCAAGAATGAAATCTTAATGGAACTATCCATATATAGTTCATCCTTCATCGCCATATAACATCTCAAATCTAATGTAATAGGAGGAATTGAGACAGTATTTTGTAAATACATAATCATCTATGTCAACATTCACAATCACCTTCTCCAAACACAAATGGAATATTTTTGTTAGTAAAAACTTTCATTAAAACATACTGAACTCCATTCTAAAAGGCAAGCAACAAACTGGCTGGAGAGAAACTGCAATATTGCAGTCTTACCAGGAAGATGCACACACCCAAACACCACACACAACACGCGAGGGGGAGAGAGAGATTCCTTCATTTACTTTGAACAAAGATAAAAAATAATTGTACAATTGGGAAGAGGCATACCAAACGGATGCTTCCGGTGTAGGATTACCATAGCACAGATACAACCATTTACACCTGTGCTTAAGCTCACAGAAGCACTAATCTTGCGAATCTCCTAAGCCTGGCCACTGAAAATGAAGAAAGTGAAATCCACTTTCAACCAGGTCAACTTTTCTCACCTCGAATGAGATGAGATATTATATTATACACAACTAGTCAGTCAATTATGCATTCAAGGCCGGGGTTTTGGTGGTATAGAAAAAGAGTTGCCACAGTCAATTGGTGTATGCATAAGCGGATTCCATCTGTCAAAAACTATTCGCCCACCTCTGCCAATCCTACCATGAAAGTTATATGGGCGTCCAGATCCACCATTCTTCATCAAAGAATCTGATGGTGGCGCAATGCCTGCAGCTGCCAGTTTTCCTGAATCTAGAGGTTTAGTGAACAGAAGAACAGGCTCAAGCGGATCCTGCATTAATCCAATTGAATGCATCGAGTAACTATCATGTTATTTACCATGCCATGAGAAAAACAAACACTGCAAATTCTGCAATTAACTGTTTTTCCTTTTTAATCCATTTGACCATTTCAAAAGTGAATGAAGGTGGAATGAAAAGATCAATTCCATTAAAAATGTCCATTATCATGTTTGGTTCACCGAAGAAAAAAAAATGATAAAAAACATGTACTGCAAATAAAATCATTATTCACCATTACAAAAAATGTCCACATGGAGGCTAATGAACGATTCATTCCACTTTCATTCCAATAAACCAAACGCAACATTAAAGTTAAATATTATGTTTATTTGCAATAATTAGAGAATCCCTATGTATTACATGAATGTGTATCACATCAGTGTTCTAGAAGGTCCATGGGTGGTCTATATGAGTGTCAGGGACTCGGGTAGAGGAGAAGACATAGATCCCCTAAATTTGTAGTCTATTGTGTTCTCAATAAACTCGTATGTTTCTTATATTTGTGATCCCATTTTCTCCTTTGTAATTTTACCTCCTAAGTGGTTGATATTAAATCAGTGATTGTCAGGGTACAGCAAAAATGTTACACTATCCAATACCTTCTCCCCATTAAAATGTTAAAAATTCCAAGCTGTAATAAGGAAAGGAAGCACAAGGGAAAAGAAAGGTGATGTGGTGAAAGAAATAGGCACATACCAATTTATGAAGCCATCCATAGGGGGTACTCCGCCGTCTGAACTCTCGCTTCATGCTTTCCACAGAAACCATAACCAGTTTGGAGTCCATGAAAGGCATATTCTGCACAGCAGCAGGTCGCGTAGGGGGACGTCTGTATGGAACATCATCCAAGTCCATAAATTCCTCCTCACTCGAACCAAACTTTCCAGGAAAGGATGACAATCCAGACAGAGCCATGCTGTCTTCAAGGAGCTCAGTTTCATGCTGAAACCCATAAAGATTCACTCACACCAACCATTTACAGAGTAAACCAAAACAATCAACATGACCAAAAAGCTTGAAAATGCAATAATTATTATTTATACCAACGATCACTAAACTGTCCTATGAACAAAAATTGTCAAAGTTGATAACCAAACCAAGCCTTAAGTCACATCAAAATTGTCAAAGTTGATATAAATATATATATATAATGCATTCTACTATTTATGCAAACACCTTATAATAAAAACTCAAGGGAGTCATCTATACTATTTTCTATAATATTATACAATGTTTAAAAACCCAGACTGCTGGTTAAACCAGAAAAGGAATCCCGGGTTACAGGCTAATGGTTCAACTGTCGAGCCAACTAGAATTGAACCGTGACGTTATAATTACCTCATAACTATATTAAATAATTTAAAATTTTAATATATATATATTTATATTGATTATTTGTAATGAAAAAATATTATTTATGCTTGTGAATAAGAGAAAATGCAAGAAACATCATATATATATAACATATACCATATATTAATAAGGTTCAGTAATGATTCAGCCATAAAACATTTGCTTTATCAAGCAGAGGTGCTTGTTTCGAGCTTTTGCAAAATGGTCTTTGCAATGTTTGTAATAGGTGGTCTCGTGCGCCAGAGCTTGGAGGTTCGGCCAGTTCCTTGAACATACTTCCAGTTCGTCCGAGCGACCGGTTAAACCGTGAGTTTAGCCAGTTTAACAAATATAGACCGGTTTTCAAAGTAAAGCGGGTTTAAGGGTGTATCTAGACCAGAACATAGACTGGTCAACGGGTCAACTGGCCGGTCCAGTTTTCAAAACATTGCAATTATATAAAGCCAATTCTTGAGTTGGTTGATGTCATGGTGTTTTTTTCTCCGAAATACCTTTCACCATGTAACTACTATCCAACTGCTTCAAATAACTGTCATTATCAAATTCAATTGTTTAGGGTTAATTACTCACAGGTCATGTTACAAGGATCTATACACCATTAAGTCCCAAAAGTGTTTTTATAGATCAAAAAGTCCTAATAGTTGGACTTAAAGACTTTTTGTGATGATTTTATGAATCTGTCGCTAAAAACTAACAATTAGTGATAATTTTCTAAATTTGTTGCTAAAAAAATGACAATTAATGACTCTTTTGTAACTATTTTCTAAATCTGACAAATAACAATTAGTGGTTTTTTTATGACAAATTTGTCAAACAGTCGCTAAAACCTAACAATTAGTGACACTTTTAAGAAAACGCCACTAAAAAAAAAAAAAAAGGATTTTGTGGTAACAATTAAAAGTGAACAAGACTTTTTGATGCACCAAAAAGTCCAGAGAACTTATTGGTGCACCATCTTCTTAATAGGATTTTTTAGTCAGTTTCCCCCTTGTTTTATATAAAGCATCAACACTATGTGTGTGCCCTCTTCTAATTATGGATAATGAAAAGATCCATCTCAAAGACAACTGCATAAAGAACCCAAAAAAATTGCCCAAAATATTCTACAAATAAACTAAGACCTCTGCCTAGGGGATAGAATCTGACTAAATAATCACATAAGTAGGTGAGAACCACATAGCCTTTTCTGTTCTTTTTTTTCTTCCCAGCAAAATTCCTCTATTTTTTCTTAAACAATCCAAAAAAAAAAAAAAAAAGCCTTTCTAATGTACAAAATAGACACAAAAGTAGATACCACAAACTTTTCTCTCTCTAAAATTTCTCCATTTTCCTTAAAAATACCCAAAGAAAAAAAAATCAATAAAAAAAGCAAGAGAAAGAAAGTACATCCTAAAGTCATGCAGGCTTTTTTAGCATCAAGCACCTATGCCAACATTGTCCTCATTTAGCAATGCAAATGATATTTATGCCTTAGGACTTGAGTATTTCATTGATCGACTAAATATTGCATGTACTGATTTGGTAAAGAGCAATCAGGCATAATTGTATAAATCGCGTTTTTACATGATAAAGTGAATAAGATCAATAAACTGAAATTAAATGATAAATATCTAGATTGATGTAAAACAAGTTAATGATTTTAACAGTGTATAAAATACATTAGTGCAACCTAAGAGATAAAACAGCAAGAGGAGGCTATGGGTGAAAATGTTTCCCAATGAAGATTATCAGTTGGAATGTGAGAGGGTTGGGGTCTCGAAGAAGAGGGGGGTTATCAAAGATTTTTTAAAGAATCATCATCCGAATATTGTTATTTTTCAGGAATCTAAAGTGGAAGTGTGCGATAGAAATTTCATAAAAAGTGTTTGGGGAGCCAGGCATAAGAGATGGGCTTTTGTGCCATTTGTAGGTAGATCGGGGGGTGTTCTGAAAATGTGGGATGAGCAGTTCGTCACAGAGTGTGAAACTACTATGGGGGAATTTTCATTATCAATTAGATTTAGGAATCCTGATAGTGTGGAGTGGTGGTTGACTGGGGCTACAGTCCTAATAGTCCTTCTAGGAGAAAGGATTGGTGGGAGGAGTTATATGGGTTATTTGGTTTGTGCTCTCCAAACTGGTGCATAGGGGGGGACTTTAATGTGGTTAGGAAATTGTCTGAGAAGTTCAGTGGGATTAGAACCAATACGGGTATGAAGGATTTTGATTCGTTTATAAGCTAGGAAGCATAGATACGGATACGGCGATACCGATATAGTGATACAAGTAGGATACGGGTACGGCAAGGATACATTCGTAAAAAAAAATAATAATTATTATTTTTTATAATTTTAATAATGTAATATGAGACAGGAAACGTTACCTAGATTGGTTTCTGATCATTGTCCCATTGTAATTGAGAGTTGCCCACTTAAATGGGGACCACTGCCTTTCAAATTTGAGAATATGTGGTTGGAGCATCACTCTTTTAAAAGAAACTTTGCGGGAATGGTGATCTAATGCTACGTGCCATGTAGGAATGACAACGGGCGGGGCTGGGACCGAGGATTACACTCCCCGTCCCCGATCCCCGAAGCTAAAAAAATTCCCATCCCCGCCCTCGATCCCCGGTGAGGACGCCACCACCTCCCATCCTGGCTCCCTAACGGGGATCGGGTTTCCCCGACCCCGGAAAAAAAATAATCCCCAACCCCTTCTCTACTTTTTCAAATACAAAAATCAGAACTATACCAATTTCATTTTTTTTTTCTTTGATTTTTCACCAATCAAAAGTTGGGTTGGGTTACCAGTAAATTTGTAAGAAAATTGACATTTAAGAGAGATTCAAGCAAATCCATAAATTGATTGAGGCACCAGAATGGCAAAAAAAAAAAAAATACAAATGAATCTAGGAATCAAATAATATCCTAACAAGTTGTTAGTAACAACAAAATCAGATTTGAATCCATATATATATGTTGAACAAATAAAACCCTAACAATAATACCCTAACAACAACATCAGATCTGAATCCATATATATATACATTGATAAAAAAAATTCAAAAAAAATCATAGATCTATTCAAAAAAACCACAGAATAGACACAAATGAGGATGGCGATCGGTGGTGCTGCGGTGGAAGGAGTGTTGTGCAACGGACGATGGTGTGCGACGATGGTGGTAGCGGGATCGGTGGTGTGCGACGATGGTGGTAGCGGGATCGATGGTGTGCGACGACGGTGGTAGTGGGATCGGTGGTGTGCAACAACAGTGATAGCGACAGAGAGATAGAGAGACGCTGAGAGAGGAGATTAGTGGCGAGTGACGAAGATCGGCGGTGGAGGAGAGAGTGGTGAGTGAAGAAGATTGGCGGTGGAGGAGAGTGGTGAGTGAAGAAGATCGGCGGTGGAGGGGAGAGGGAATGAGAGAGAGAAATGAGGGATTCGGTGTATCATGTATGTGAGTGGGAGCCTGAAAATCAAATATAGAAATATATTATATACACGGGGATGTTCGGGGACCATTCGGTCCGGGGCTAGGGTTGGGAAATTTATCCCCGTCCCCAGCTTGAAAATCATCAGGGATTTAATTTTTAATAACATCTCCGGCCCTATGGGGATAATTTCGGAGAAAACCCGTTCTAATCGAGGTCGGGGGATCAGGCCCCTGTCGGGCCGGGTTCAAATTGCCATCCCCGGTGTCATGGGTGGGAAGGCTTTAAATTTATGAAAAAATTGAAATTGTTCAAGGAGGATGGGAAGACTTGGAATAGGGAGGTGTTTGGGGAGTTGGAGAATTCAAAAAAGGAGGTTCTGCATATAATTGAAGTGGACGCCTTGGAGTTGCACACGAGGGGGTTGAGTCATTAAGAAGAGAGGATTGAGTTAAGATTGAAAGTGCAAGAGTTGGTTTTTAGGGAACAAATTTTTTAGGCTCAAAATCAATTAAATTATATAAATAACAAATAAAATTTATTTGAGGCATAAAATCAATTAAATTATATATGATAAAATAAATTATTTTTATTATACACATAAAATTTTTATTATTTATGATATATTATATTATAAAATATTTTTTTTCGGTGAATAATTTTATATATTATTATATTAATATCATTTATATTATATAATATAAATCTAATTAGAAAGCAGAAAGAGAACAGGGGGGAAGAGAAGACGGAGTCAAAGAAGTGAGAGAGAGAGAGAGAGAGAGAGAGCAAAGGGGAATCGAAGCTCTAGGGTCATTTTCTGGGTAGAATCGACTTCACGATATCGGTTTTCAAATCTCCTTTGATTCAGTCGAGTTCGCAACTAGGGTTTGCGCTTTGATCTTGCTTCGCAAAGGTGAGTTTTAGCTCTCTCTCTCTCCATCTCTGAGTTTTAGCTGTATCCACTTGTATCTAGCCGCATCCTAGCCGTATTCTGCACCCGTACCTGTGTCGTGTCGTGCTGACACGGGTACCTCTCAAAAAACCAAGTCTGTGTAACATGGGATATCAATTCAAAATTTTTTTATAGAGTTGTAGATGGGAAAAGAAAGAAGTTTATCAAAAAATTGAAAGTGAGCCCAGGGGTAGTTGAGGAAAGGGAGGATCAAATTGTCAATGGAATCTTTGATTTTTATTCTAAGCTTTATTCAAAGGAGGAGACGAGTAGACCGGAAATTGAAGGACTTGAATGGAATCCATTGATCAGTCAAGTGCAAGGTGGTTAGAAAGACTATTTGATGAATTGGAAATTCGAGAGGCAGTTTTTGATTGTGAAAGAGAGAGAGCCCCAGGTCCGGATGGTTTCTCCATGGCCGTTTTTCAAGACTATTGAGAGGTGGTGAAAGGGGATTTGTTGAGAGTTTTTACGAAGTTTTATGAGTCGGAGGTGGTTAATTTGAGTTCAAATGCTACATTTATTTGTTTAATTCTTAAGAAAGTGAATGTCATCAGAATTGGAGATTTTAGATCCATTAGTTTGGTTACATCACTTTACAAGATTTTGGGAAAGGTTTTATCGAAAAGGCTTAGAACATCTTTGGGGGATACAGTATCTAGGGCACAAGGGGTTTTTGTGAAAGGTAGACAGATTTTAGATGTGGCCTTGGTGGCAAATGAGGTGGTGGAGAAAGAATATAGAAGTCTAAGGAAGGAGGGTCTTATTTTCAAAGTTGATTTTGAGAAAGTATACGATCACGTGAGCTGACAGTTTTTGAATTTTGTAATGGATAGGAAAGGTTATGGTGAGCGAAGGAGATTTTGGATTAGGGAAAGTTTGTCGATGTGTAATATGTCGGTTTTAGTTAATGGTAAACTAAGAGAGAGTTTTCAGGCTTCGAGAGGATTACGAGAAAGGGATCCATTATCTCCTATTCTATTTATTTTGGTGGCTGATGTGCTAGGAAGGATAGTTGACAGAGCTAGAGAGGCGACTCTTTTTGAGGGATTAGAGGTTAGGAGAGAGAGAGTTAGTGTGACTCACTTGCAGTATGCAGATGATATAATATTTTTTTCTTCGGGGGATGAGTCAGGTAGTCTAAGAAGCACGGACACTTCTAAGAAGATAGCGTATCTATGTTGTGTTAGTGTTGGACACTGACACTCATTAGATACTTCCCGACACGTGTCCGACACTAGTCAAAACGTGTCCTATTTTTTTAAAAAAAATTTAGATCCGGACACTCATTAGACACTTGTGTCTATTGCTTAAACACACAATATCCACCGATTAGACATACATGAAACTAATTATAAGTTTAAACTAAGTTACTTAGGATATAATAGTAAAAGAAAAAACAATGTAAATTTATAAGGTAAGTGTTATATTATATTTATTATTTTTTTTATTTTTGAATGATATATTTATATATATGACATATAATAAATAACTCATTAGACACTTGTGTCTATTGCTTAAACACACAATATCCACCGATTAGACATACATGAAACTAATTATAAGTTTAAACTAAGTTACTTAGGATATAATAGTAAAAGAAAAAACAATGTAAATTTATAAGGTAAGTGTTATATTATATTTATTTTTTTTTATTTTTGAATGATATATTTATATATATGACATATAATAAATAAATAAAATTATATATTTCGTGTGTGTCCCTCACGTGTCGTGTCCTGTATTTTTTGAAAATTAAAGTGTCAGTGTGTCCATGTCGTGTCTCGTGTTTATGCTTCCTAGCAGGTGGTCAATCTTTTTTCGGTATTGAGACTTTTTGGGGTACTCTCAGGGCTTAAGATTTTTTAGAAAAAAGTAGTGTGGTGGACATTAATATTCAACATAACCAACTTCAAAGAGGGGCTGCACTTCTAGGATGTGTTATTGAGGCACTTTCGTTCAAATATCTAGGACTTCCATTGGGGGGCAATCCTAGAAGTGAATCTTTTTGGAATCTAGTTGTGGAAAAGATTGGTAAAAGGTTGGAAGGGTGGAGTAGGGCTTTGCTTTCGCGGGGGATAAATATACTTTGGTTAAGACAGTTTTAAGTGGTTTTCTCATTTATTTTATATCCTTGTTCAAAATTCCAATGAAGGTGGCAAGGTCAATTGAAAAGCTAATGAGCGATTTCCCATGAGAAGTTAAGGATGACGGGAAGAAAGATCACTTGGTGAATTAGGAGATAGTTTCATTCCCAAAGGATAAAGGAGGTTTGGCCATTGGTAACATTGTGGCTAGAAACATGGCTCTACTTGGCAAATGGTTATGGAGATTTTCAATTGAGAGTGATTCACTTTGGCATTCTGTAATTAGAAGCAAGTATGACTCAAGATAATTGTAGAGATTCACAAGTGGTTTTGAGGGTCAGTTGTCAAGCTCCTTGGAAGTCAATTTCTCAAACCTATACACTTTGGTCTTGCTTTCTTTTTCTGAGGGTGGGTAATAGCGAACTTGTTTGATTCTGGAAGGATGTTTGGATGGGCTCCTCCTTTGCTTCGGATTTTTCAAATTTATATAGAGTGGCTTGGTCTCATAATTGCTCTATTACTTCCATGGCTTGCTCTTTTTTAGCTCTAATCTCTTGGAATTTTAATTTTTCTAGGAATCTCAAAGACGGGAGGTTGCACAGTTGACATCTTTGTTGTCTAGACTTGATCACTTTTCTTTGTATCCTCTTTTGGAAGATAAGAGGGTTTGGGCTCTTTATTCATCGGGTATCTTTTCTTGCAAGTTCTTTTTTGATAGAATTATTGATAATCCTCAAATCCCTCATTTTCCTTTTTGTAAAAGAATTAGAAAGCTTTGTTCCTCTTATGGTGAAGGTGTTCATATGGTCATTGGTTCATGGAAGCATTTTGATAAATGATACATTGCAAAAATGGAGACCTTATCGTTTTCTAAATCCTCAATGGTGCATTATGTGTTGCAAGTATAGTGAATCTTTGGATCATTTATTTTTGCATTGTCCACTTGCTTTGAGCTTATGGCACAGGTTGTTTCTCTTGAAGAATGTTTTGTGGATGGCACCAAAAGGTAATGCGCAAATGCTACTAATTGACTTTCACGGTTTGGGAGGATCAAAAGGGGCCAAAGTGCTATGGTTTTGTGCCGTCTATGCAATTTTTTGGGTTTGTTGGTTGGAAAGAAATGTGTGGGTTCTTTTTTTTTTGATCAGCAAAGAAAAATTTCATTAATCAATATGAAATTAAAGGTACAGGAAGATGAAATGCACTGAGAGAGATTCGGAAGGGTATAAAATACCCCTACTACTGCTACTCGCTACCATACAATCAATCCCTTGACCTCACGATATTTTTTTTTTTAAAACAAAAAAGTTAAAAAGGACTTAACAAAAATAAAAATACATGATTCTCCACAAAATCAACCCACCAAAAGCCCAAACAGCTCTTGCAATACCTCTAAACAACAAATTAAAAATAACTTTTCTAACACCCAAGTTGCACTCCCAAGGCCAACCACCCACGCCTATGAAGCTGAATATTTTATTCGCCCAAGTTCAATAGCCCAAGACCCACGCTAAAAATTTCATTAATCAATATGAAATTAAAGGTACAGGAAGATGAAATGCACTGAGAGAGATTCGGAAGGTATAAAATACCCCTACTACTGCTACTCGCTACCATACAATCAATCCCTTGACCTCACGATATTTTTTTTTTAAAACAAAAAAGTTAAGGACTTAACAAAAATAAAAACACATGATTCTCCACAAAATCAACCCACCAAAAGCCCAAACAGCTCTTGCAATACCTCTAAACGACAAATTAAAAATAACTTTTCTAACACCCAAGTTGCACTCCCAAGGCCAACCACCCACGCCTATGAAGCTGAATATTTTATTCGCCCAAGTTCAATAGCCCAAGACCCACGCTGCTACATTGCTTCACACCCATGCTGCTACACACCAGCTACACTGCTACACTCCCATGCTACACAGCTACAACACTGCTACACTCCAAACAACACTGCTACACTCCCATGCGGCTACACACCTGCTGCTACACTCCCTACACCCATGCCTATGATGCTGCACTCCCAAGGCCAACCACCCACCTGAACATAGCTCATACACCACGCCAAGACAGCTTATACACAGCTCATACACAACGCCAATGCTGCTGTCCACCCGACCGGAAAACTCCATAGCAAACGACCAACGACCAAGGCCACACCACCGGAAACAACCAAGGCCACACCTCCATCCATTGATTAACCCAAACTCACCCACGCCCCCTTGTCCAACCCCTTGCTGGCCAACTACTCCGAAATGTCCACCTCAGTGCCGACTCCTCCCTTCACACAACCGCTACAAAACTCGTAAGATGACGACCCAAACTCCGATCAACCGCTGGGACACCTCCAAATATCTGGACGAAGATCACCCCTCAAACTCCCACTTGAAGAGGAGCGCTCGAATGAACGCCAGACAGAACTATTAGGATATGGATTTTCTGTGGGATAAAATTTGTCACTTAACTTCCTTTTAGGCTTCGGTGAATCCTCATTTTAAAGGAATTTCACTATTTTGGTTAGCTAGAGATTGGGTGTCAGTGTGTGACATGTAGGAGTTTTGTGGATGTATTCTTTGTTTTCGGTTATGTAGTTTCTTCCCTTTGTTTTCTTATTTGTAGAGGATGCCTCATCCTCGTCTCTTTTTGATTTATCAATAAATTTTTTTTGTTGATCAAAAATAAAATAAAAAAGATAAAACATCCCATACATACCTTATACTTCATTTGAATCCTTTGTAGGCTAACGTCACTCTCCATGACTTCTCTTTTTTTCTCCTCTCTCTGCACACAGTCATCTTGTCAGGCAATGAGTATGAATTGATTAAAAAAAAAAATGCTTCACCAGATGTGACAACTCAGTATTAAAAGCAAAATGACAAATAAGGATCACCTTGATCACAGCCTCAATTAGGCTCTTGGCTTGGCCGAAGTTGCGCCTAACCTATAGATATTGAATTGAAAACAAATCAACTAAAGCAAAATAAATTATGTGCAAGAACAAATATGATGTACAATTATCTGTGAGATAATATTAGAAACTATTACATTGATGGATAACATAACTGAACAATCTGTTACAGATTTCAAACTAGTATTACTTAAGGCATTTTTATTTTAAATTTTCTGTAGTTCTTTAATAGGTTAAACATCTACCATATCATAGTCATTCTTGTTCTAAGGATTAGGGGGGCAACCCTAACCATGAGGACCTCTAAAGATTTTGCATAACTAAGCCCATGGAATGTAACAACAGGTGTGAAGTTGTGCGCGGCATACATCCCTTACACAAATCGTCATGTCCAACAGGCAACAGGTGTGCAACACAACCATGGGCCTGTTTAGTGCACCTTCTCGCAAGTTGAAAGCTGATAATCAAAAAGCAGTTAAAGGCTGGGATTCCTCAACTTTCCAATAATCAGTTTTTTTTTTTCAACTAATTTAACCTATTTTTTCCTAGTAAGTTGTTAGCAGAAGCTGCACCAAAAACTGTGGCACAAACTCCTAACAAAAGTTATAAGCAACCCCTATAAGTTGCACCAAACAAAGCCCATGTCATGTCATATCATGTCCAACACAGGCAGGTTGCATCTTTTGAACCTTCAAGTAAGAAGCTCCATAAAGCATTAGCCCTCCTGGAAGGGTTCAGTTAAACAGTTAAAGATTGATCTTTAGCATTTTGCTCTGTCTAGAGCTCCATCGTCCATCAATTCAAAGATTATTATCTCGCAACTTTGACCAACATTTTTCCCTCGTTGGGTAGGCTTGGGCCTATAATTCGACATAAAAGAAGAATCCATGCATGTTTTACCTGAAAAGCACAGGTACAGACACAGGATGTGGATACGACACAAATGGACACCCCAATTTTGAAAAAATGCAAGACAACTCAACAGATAGTGGGACACGACAAAAGAATATATAAAAATAATTGAGTTTTAAGTTGCCTGTGCTCTTCTCTCTCTCTCTCTCTCTCTCTCTCTCTCTCTCTCGTCCAATCATTAAAGTACGAATTTGGTCCATGTAATCAATGGCACAAACAAACAAAACTTGCCCAAAATTGAGCCCACAAAATTCTGATATTTGAAGACCCCAATAGATTGCTAACGGAGACGACGGATTTTCATAAGAAAGAAAACAAAAAGAACAGGAGAGAACAAGGCCACATCGTTGTTCTTCTTCTTCGCCAATTGTCATGAACCATGGGAGGCCACCAAAACGGTAGCCTGCCCAACCGAACCCAGTTTTTTAAGTGCTTGAGAGTGATATTGATGCCTGTTTATCCTGACCCAATTATTAATTATATATATTGATGTATATGTATATAATAGATATATAATTTATTTACTTCGAATTGTTGTTTAAATAAAGAATATGCACATAAGAGGGTAAATGCATCCACCCAAATTTTGAACCTAGGATGTAATGTATAGAAAGTGTTTGTGCCAAGCTTACTTGCCTACAAAGTTATTCATATTTAATTTTGCAACATTTATTTCTTATCTAATACTGGGGTTTGTTGGGCGGCTGGGGCTTGTAATTTATCTTTTGAGTCGAGCTATAGGATAAGATTTTCAGGCCCAATGTCTGGCTGGACTGGGCTCAGGCCAGGTTTTTGTTCATTTCTTTCTAGCTCAGGTCTGGCTCACCCATGGCCACCCCTAAGTTGACATGAACGATGGGAAAGTGAGGCTCTTGTTGTGTTTGTAGAGTGTTCCAAAAAGGAACACATGCGTCTAGTGCATGTTCAACAGACGTGTCTTGAACACGTGCATGGCCAGTGGAGGGTCGTGTCAATGCTTCTTAGGTCATTATTAGAATCCCTTATTCCACTAAACCAAGAGCATACTTCTAAGCCAAGAATTGGGCAACTGTTTGAGAACTCCCCACAGTTCTAGTACCACCATTTCTCTAGCCATCCTCTCATATCCTTCTTTCTTCACTCTTCGGGGGGAACTTATGTTGCTTTCTCCTGTGTGTGTATTTTGTTGGTCCAATAAAATTTTCTGAAAAGTATTAAACTATTCAAAGAGGTCCTTAAACAAGGGTGCAGCAAGTACAGATATACCCTTCAACAAACTTGCTTCTCCCTCTTTTTATTATCAACCCTCTTACGAAAGAAAGAAAAACAACAAGAAGGAAAAAAAAAAAGAGGAGGTTAGGAGGCATATGCAAATGCCAGTACAGAAATGAGCATACAAAACCAATCTAATGGGTGATGGATATGTATCCAACGTGTTTGATTGGAAATGCATCTGGATAACATGTCCAAACATACAAGTTTATAATTAAATAGTGGCCTTATTAAATTTTCTTCTTTTACATGGTTGTTTCAAAATGAGTGATGAGCCTATGCTGAGTGCCTAATTTTACATAAAAGAGCAATTTTCAACTACAAAATCAATGCAGAATGTTGAGAAATGTAAATATAATGCTTCCAAACATGCCCACACCTGACAGAAGAACCCGAATCCATGTAAAATAGGTGCCAATAATGTTTAAAATTACTCTCAAGCTAATCACCTTGGAAAACATATGGTTGGCATTGCCATATAAAAACAATGCAAAAGAAATGAGTGCTTCATGGTAAGAAATGTTTGTCATTATGAGAATCAATACAAGTAGATACACAATTTTCAGGTAAGTGAGCACCAAATATGTTCAGAAAGTAGAACTAGTATCAAACCAAATAAATATAATAAAAAATAGAAGGGGGAAAAAAAACTTCACAAACAACATATATGACAATATCACTGCTGTTGAGAAGCGGCTACTAATAATAACATCAAGAATACAGGCTCCTCTCAGATCACTATAAAAAGGAGAAGAAACAGGAAAATAAAATACTGGTGAACGCTCAAAGGTTCTAATAATCATTTATGTTCTACAAAAAGTGATGTTCCAATAATTTTAGAATACTATTGAGGTACATAAAAACTAGAACATGAATAAGAAGTTCGAGTAATCTTGAACTAACCTGGCGAAGCTTTTCAAAAGACTGCACATTGTTTTCCCTCCTTTGCATCTAATATAAAAACAAGAAGCATATAATACCTATCAACATGAAATTAATTCCTCACAGTTCATAAATTGATTGAATGACAAAAAAGTCATCCCCGTAAAAAGAGGTAAAAAGCCATTGAAAGACCAAATCAAGCACTTACTCTTCTTGTGTGAAGTCTATGGGCTTTCTCCCTCGGCCTAAACACAATGTATGGGTTGGTATCATGAACAGGTGGAGGAGGCTGTAAAAGCAAACATAGTTGAGACAATTATTAGATCACCATCATGTGCAGTTCAAGCCAAAATTCATCTAAGTGTTAATGTGTGGAAAGAACTATGCAAATCACAGAGATGCACACATTATCAAGGTGAAATTTTTGAATATGCAAAGAATATTATAAAATAAATCAGCAAGTAGTCAGCGGCCCAACCCTGAAGCTTACTTATGTTAATTACAAAATTGTTCACTCAAACTCACCTATAATCTCTCTCCTACATCACACACTTATTGCTTATCGTCTCAAAATGAACCCTTATTACTTCTTGCACATCTTCTCAAAGTGAGCTCTTCTAATAACTTCTCTCTATTCATATCACCTCTGCCAGCAACAGATTCCAGCTACACATGACACTGATGTCACATTTTATCTTAATTCCATATACCAGTATGGATTGTTGCAAAAAGCACAAATTCTACAAACCAGATCAGATACTTCCAAGGGATTTATAGCATTCATTTTCCAGTTTTGCAAGTGAAAGGAACGAGTCAGTTAACAGTAGAGGAATCACTTAGGTTAAGATTTAAATAACCACCACCACTTGCCACAGAAGACTAAAATCTGGAAGCACAGTTGGCAACGCCCATTTGTCAAAATGAGCAGACAACTTGTTTGGCTGAGTAACCATTTCAGTATATGAACAGAACACACTTTACCTTTTGACAAGTTATATGAACATACTGCACCTTACGCCTCAAAAGATATGGCCAAAAGTCTTTTGATTTCTCCATTGAACAAATCTTGGTAATAAATAAGTACCTTGAGATCTCGACTTCAAGATTATTGGTCAATGATTTAATACAACTATAAGTGCCTCCAGCAATTTCTTTTTTCTTAAAGATCATAACAGTAATCATGTCATTTCTTTGTCTAAACCAGCCAGAATGAGTTAAAGCAGAACCCTGTTTCATTAGATGTTCTTTATGAAGCTCACAAAATTGGAATGTTTGTGGAGATTGGTTGCCACAGATTAGGTGAAAGGAAGCAATGCTATTCATAGATATATTCACTCTACTAAACAGAGAAGTAGCTGGATCTTCAGAAGTTGAGGATTACTAGGTCAGCAAAATATGAAACTATTTGCTTCATTGGACTATTTGTTTTACTTTCTTGTCTTTCTCCAAAGGATGCATTGAACTTCTTTTCCCCTTCTCTCCCTAATCAAGTGTTCTTGTCTGTCCCCAAAGGATGCATTGAACTTCTTTTCCCCTTCTCTCCCTAATCAAGTGTTCTTGTCTTTCCCCAAAGGATGCATTGAACTTCTTTTCCCCTTCTCTCCCTAATCAAATGTTTATTTTTCAGAACTTGAATGAGTAGCCAAAGCTATAGAATGCATGAGCACAACAAATTTTTACGCACAAAAGACATGCATAATGCACTTCAGACTAGTGATAGTAACCCCAAAACAGACAAATGTATTTTTATGTAACTGTATGTTTAATTTAGTCCCTTAACTTATCTAGCCTCATTATGATGAGGTCCAGCTGTGCATATTACTAACCGTAAAACTAAAGCAAGATAATGCCAATTGCAGAGGTTGAGGGAGACTAATCTATCATCATGAATCAAACTAACGATACAATCATGCCCTCCTTAGTTTATCCAAAATCTTATCATGACAACCAAGGTGGACATGTGCAGCTTCCCCATGCATGTAAGTAGGCAACAGAGATTATAAAGTTAATAAGCCAGCTAGCAGATATGTGGTGAAAGGTCATACTCCATTTGAATAGAGCATGTGGCATCATGCTTGCTAAGAGAAGTCATATGAAAACACCATTTGGAAGTGAACAAAATGCAATGAAAGAAAAAAGCTGAAATATACATGCTTAAACAGATGAGACAAGAATAAGATAACAGGAAAAGCACTAATTCCAGGCAAGATAGGAAAAGACTAGTAAAATGTTTTGGCCATGTGCACAAACACTAATAGTTGCATTAGTGGGTGAGGTGAAAGTGTACATTATTCATTTTTTTAAACAGAATTCATGTAACCAAAATATAGCAAAACAGAACCTATATGACAAGATCGAAATAGATAAATCGAGACATTAACCAAATTATATTTAGCAACCACCCATGAAATAAAAAGTACAAAAAAATTGAAGTTGTTAATTAGATTCAACATGTATCTCAGACTACAAATTGTATAGATAATTAGAATCTACTTGTTAAATCAGAAACAGTTGATTTTGCCTCAGATTCTTTAAAAAAGCACCCAGCAAAGTCTTCACTTTATTAAAGTGTTTTAATGGAAAGAAGAATAAAAAAGGTGAGAACACTAGGAGATCAAACTCAATTCCTAATTACAATATATATATATACAATATGCGCGCGTGTGTGTGTGATTACATCACATTTGAACCCTTGTTTCAACAATTTGATCAAATACATGTCAAGACAACAAATCCTGAAAAACAGTGTTTCCAATCAAGTGATAGAGCTAACCTGCAAACGCCGTAAAATAGGCTTTTGCCACCGTTCACGCTGCAGTAAGAATTGGGAAAAAGAAGATATGGTGAGGGAAAAGTGTGAGTAAGACATGTTAGAAATGAGCATCAATATTAAACGAGCAGCACAGGAGGACCATAAAAAGCTGGCTTACAACAAAGCACAACTAAAGGACACTCAAAATTGAGCAATGAGAAGCTCATTGTTTTAGCCTCTTTATCTTGCCAGACACCTGTGCCAATGTTCATATCCTTTATATGCAGCAGTAAGCTATGTAAACTTCATAATAATTCTTAGTAAATTAAAAAATTCTATAAAACAAAATAATAAAAAAAGACAATTCCGAAATGCACAGTTTTGAAGCATACTTAATAAAGTTCCAACAATGGTTTGAAAAAAAGTAGTCTTAAAATAAATTAGTAAGAAGTATAATCAAGCAATTTATTAGTAAGAAGTATAATCAAGCAATTTTTAGACCATGTGTAAGGTGAACTTAATCCTCTTTCCCCTTCTGCCTCCACCCCATACGGAGAAAAAAACTCTTCACAAGGTCCATCAAAGGAATCAGCAATATACTTAACTCTCAAATTAAACATATAATTTTATGAAGAAAAAATCCACAAAGAGCCTGATCACAGAACAAAAATTAACAGAATTAAATATATTTACTAAAGAATAGTAGATTTTAAGAGACTAGTACTCTAAGAACAAGGTGGATGAAGAAAACATGTCACCCCGTAAAGAATTTAGAGAGAGAGTTTCTCACAAGAATTCTTTACCAACAATACAATAGCTTCCTTGAAACAATAAAAAAAACTTATATGGTAATTAATGCATACCTTTTCCTTCCAATAGTTATAAATAGACTGGAGAACTCCATATTTTACTGAGCCAGAGAGTATGGCCTACAATTTTAAAGAAACAAATAAATAATTAAATTAATTGCAACAAAAAGAGTAACCCAAGACATATAATGCAAAGAAGCCAAGTTTTTACGACAAGCACAAAATCCAGATAATTTACATATATAAACAAATGTCTTACACATTGCAAGACTCAAAAATTTCATTCCCTACAATAATGGTGATGCAAGTATGATAACAAGAGAAGCAATTCGAGAAGTTCAGGAGGCAAGCTCCCTGGACCATCAGTAATCAAATTTTTTTAGCAAATTTTCGTCTTTGTGGATTTATGTTTCAATATGGTCTGCCACCAGAAGATCGTATAATTATATCTACATTTTCTTCTATTTTAGAAAGGGGAGGGGAGGGGCTGTAGTCATGGTCCAAGGGTATATATTTTTTATGTAGTTGTGTTATTGGGTCTTCATTAGATTTAAAATGTTCTCGCTACTAAAAGTTTCAAAGGCTTTCATTTTGGAGTCCTAATCCTAGCCCAAAAACCCATACTAGGGATGTTCACGGGTCAGTCCGGTTCGGTTCTGCTGCCAAACCATCACTCAACCCGACCACTTCGGGTACAGAAAAGCACCACTCAATCTCGACCAATGGTTGATCAAAACCGCAAAACATCAGGTCTCTTTTCAACGGTCGGTTACCGGTTCGGATGAGTAATATCCGAACCCCACAAAAAAAATGAGAGTCTAAAGAGGGAGAGGAGTGAAGAATGTTGAGGAAAAAGGACTTCGAGAGGGGAGGCAAATCAGAGGAGGAGGTGAAGGTGAAGGGGTTCATGGGGTAGAGAGAAGGGATTGGGAAGAGGGTTGCCACAGAGGAAGAGTAGATATCGCTTCCATGCTGCCAATCTTGTTTTTGCTCTAATCCCTCCATCATGGATTCATGTTGTCAAACCTGAGACTGTTGTGAAGAGAGAGATGAGAGAGGGAAGAGGGAAGGTGGAAGGTTGAGAGCTTGATCTTGGAAATCTATTTGGGAAGACAGAGAGGCGTGAATTGTTTAATTGACATGATAGGATCATGTGGGTTGTTTTAGATTTCCAATGACTTTTACTGATAGATGGCAGAATGATACAGTACAAGTGTAATTCCAAGAGTCAATAAAAAATTGCCAGCTATCAAGTGATAACTATCTATTTAAATATATATATATCAGTCGGTTCAGTTTATATGATTTTTTTCTCTTGAATCTGGTGGCCGACCGACTATCAACAGATTTGAATAATTTGAAACCGCTGCCGACCAAACATAGTGACGAAGCTGACCATGCAACATTGGTTCAGTTCAGGTCAGACGGGTTCATCGGGCCAATAGGTTCTTTGAACACCCCTAACCCATACATATTATTTACTATTTCAGTTGAATAGAGCTGTATTGCCAGAGAAATCAGATTTTCTAATGTTTGATCCAACATAACCATGATTCTCCTCTTCCTTTTCTCTCAATTATTTGCTATGAGATTTTGTTACTTGAATCACCACCAACCACTAATCGCTTCACCTTGGGGGTGTTTGGCAAAGTTGCTTTTTTGGCTAACTTAGCCAATACAAACAAAATAGACTAAAATAACCAATAAGACAAAATGTCACATCCAAACCATAATCATTTTACTTTTTCTCTCACAACCATCAAATTAACTACCAAAAAAAGCCAACTAACTTTCCAAACACAACTTTTTTAGCCAAGCTAAATAGCCAATAACCAAAAAGCCAACTAAAATAGCCAACTTCCCAAACAAAGTCTATCATCATCCCAAAACCATATTCCACAATCCCAACTTCATTTTTTTTCTTTTTTTTTTTTTTTTTTTTTTTTGACAAATCACAATCTCAACTTTTATATTTAGTTTGATACCCAAACTCCATGAGTAATTGCTGTCTAAAAAATTCCAGCGCCATTACCTAGAATTCTGGCAACCAAACACTAAGCCCATTCACTCATTTCTATCTAAAAACCCTAAACCTTTCTCCCACCTTTAATAAATAAAAAAAAAAAAAAACTTTAAAGATACAAGCTTATTCCACAAGTATTATGATGAGAACATTATTCAAAGTTCTTAGTGTAATCATGCATCAAAAGGTTGCCTTGACAACGATAACCAAGGTAGACAGCTTCCAAAATAAAGGAATCAATACCAAAGAACTCCATACGATTGCAAGGGACAGAACCATTGAGTTCTCCGTATCTGCAAGATTATCAACTAGGCAAACAGAGGGTAAGACAGTATGCAGTAAGATGTACCTTCTCATCAAGGCGAAGTCAAGGCACTTGAGGCGGTCACTTAAATCTTAAGCTTGAGGCGGTGACTTTTTTTACCATTTGATATGATCTCAGCCATTTATTTTTTAGTAGTAATTAACATCTAGCATACCATTTTATACCTCATTACTTTCTAAACTTGAGTTTCTCTATTTCTTTCCTCTTTCCTCTGTCTTCTTCTTCCTCTTCGTTTTCCTTTGGCCAGCAGCGCTCTCTATGTCAACTTGAGACCTTTTCCTTTCATTTGTTTTTATAACTTTTTTGGTTAAGTGAAGAAACAAAAAAAAAAAAACGTTTTTCTTCAATCTGGCCTAGCACTACAGAGCGCGAAATTTAGACTAGTTGATCAACCATTTGGCCACTGCTAGGTAGAAATTTTTGCTTAATTATAGGTGGGTAAGAAATTTCTTTTATTATTGCTTCATTGCCGTTCAAACTTTGTCGTAATTTTTTGATTAATGTGGTTTTACAACACAAAGAAACATAAATAAATAAATAAATAATTAGCGAAGGCGCCTCAATCAAAAATAAAGGAAAAAGGAGGCTAAAGAAAGTATGATCCACATGTTTAGCTAAGGCAAGACAAGTGGCAGACATCAAGACCAACTGATTAAATCTGCAAGGCTAAGCAATAAGAAACAGATCTGCATGATATCAACACTAAAACCTAACTATGATCAGCAACTCAAGAGGTATCAGTCAACTAATCCCATAATCAAGGTAGCTACTGCCATAAAAAGTTACAGTGATAACTGGCATACAGGAATAGATTGTGCAACCATGCAAGGGAGTAAATTTCACCTCAGCAGCAGCATCAAACTGTAGAAGTACAGGAATGGGCGAGCCAAGAGTAGGAGTTATAACTCCTGCTCTTTCCCGAGCCTTATGATCCAATACCTCCAATTTAAATAAGATAATTTCAAACCTGCACTAACAAGCTTACCCACATTAGCGCAAGCAGCCAAGTAAACTAGTAAATTCAAAAGGCATAAATCTAACGGGAGAAAAAGGCAATAACAACCCCAAATTTGACAACGAGCAATGAAAATTTTGCAAGCATGAGCAATCATTCTATGTTTGGTGTGCTTTCTGGATGAAACATACTAACACCAGAGTAACACAAATGTGTAGAGACATGAGCACAGCGAGTAGTATAGGCATATCTTCTATAAGAAGGCAACTCAGTTGAATCAATATCAACTCCGTTTAATTTTATGAACAAATATAAAAGCAAAGAGTAGTAAAGGTGAAGTATGAAAAAGTAGCTACCGCCAAGCTGACATATATATGATGAGCCATAAATCATCAAATTCCCGCTACGTCCAAATTACAAAAACATTCATCCATCAAAAGACTTCTGGCCTTAAAAATATAAAATTACTTAAAGTACAAAAACATTCATACAAAAACATTCATCCATCAGCCAATATAAAATTACCAACATACCCCTAACCTTAAAAATCCTAGAAAACGTAAAAATAATAATAAAATAAGACTCTAATAATACTAGAAACATAATTGCAGAAGATTTCTATCAGTTTCTCTATGAAATCATGCCAATATTCAAGTATCATCACTTCTTTGAATTAGCCTTCCTTGAGCTTCTTATACTTTGTATCATTCTCCCTTGGTTGGAAAAAACTTGACCACGAGTTTTGAAGTATTGTATAGAATCCACAAGTTTTGAAATTGCATCAATAGCTTCACATTAAAATGTTCAAGTTGACAACGTCATTTCTTCTTCATTGGAGGTAGCTATAAGTTTCTCTATGAAATCATACCAATATTCAAACATCATATTTTTTTGAATTTAGCCTTCATTGAGCTTCTTATACTCTGCATTAGCATCATTTTATTGTTTTGAAGCCCATTTGTATTTTTGTTTTATTAGCATTTGAGGGGTCCACTTTCTGTTTTGGGCTTTATTTATTTTTGGGCTCTAAGTATTCACCCCATGTCTTGAATAAATTATTTTGGGCATGTTTAATCATCTAGGAGGTAGAAAACACTTTAGGCCCATTCTTATACACTTTTGACCCAACACCCAACTACAGGCACACATTGCATTTTTGGACTTTAATCATTTTGGATCCAATTGATTGAGCCCATGTCTTGACTCAATTTTCCTAAGCCCGTATTAATCTTGTTAAAGAAAAACCCCCACACTTTTTCTCAGGCTTTGTTTGGCTATACCTTTTTGGAGACCCACTTTATCGCACTTAGGGCACTAATTAATACTGATTTAGTAATCGTAATTAAGCCATTTTAGTGGCGGTAGCAATTGAATTCTTGCATGAGTTTTTTTTTAGCATTATTTATTTTTTATACATGAAGGAGAGAAGATAGTATTTTATACACATTAAATACATCACTTGAGCATTGTGCAGTACATGGGTAGGTAGAAAACCCTTTCCCTCTCTCTCTCTCCTAGCTTGGCCGGCCATAGCACCCATTAGCTCATACTTTGACTCATTTGTTCCCTATTTATTAAGGCTTTATGTCAACCTTTTTTCCTTAACATGGAGATGTGTCCTTAAATGTACGTCTCTCTCCCACCATTTGGCTACCTCATGTAGAAGACTTTTATATTTATTTGTGCAAGTCTTGCTCTAACTGTGTTATTCTCTCTCTCACTTGGTCTTACATTGGAAGACTTCATTGGTCTTGTTTTTGCAAATTTAGAAAGCAAATTTGCTCCCGAATCCCCTAAAGTTGTGGGCTTCCCCTCTGCCCATTTTCTTCATATTTTGGCCCAATCTTGCTATAATGCAACCTCTATCTACCTCACCTTACTAAGAGGTGTTTGGGAAAGGAGCTTTTTTGGCTTTTTAGGCTAAAATAGCACTAAAAGACAAAATAGGCTAAAATAGCCAATAAGACAAAATGTCACATCAAACCCATAATCATTTCACTTTCTCTCACAAGCATCACATTCAACTACAAAAAAATCCAATCATCTTCCCAAACACAACTGTTTTAGCCTACTAAAATAGCCAACTTCCCAAACACCCACTTAGTAGATCAAACTTGTTACCATCTTTGAAGCTTGGAGGACTCATTGGAGGAGTGGAAGTCAAGCTCTACCTTAGAGGACTTCTCAAATCCTTGGACTCAACTCATTCCCCCTCTTCATCTCTTGACATTTTGGTTTGCATTTAAGGTAGGGATCCTAACAAGTGGTTTTTAATATGTTAGTAACATGTTTAGGGTCGCCGGTTCAACCAATTCTCAACGGTTCTTCAAAAATAAGCCAATTAGAATGGGTTCGGTGGTTTATCCTAAACTGACTGATGGGTCAACCGACCAATCGGGTTTGATTTTAAGAAAATGTTACATTGGATGCCTCCAAAATTCTAACATAGTATTAGAGTTAGGTATTGAGCGATCTCACAGGTCTCGTCTCCACCCTGTGTCTATTCCTCTCAACTTGTTCATCTTTATCACCCTTACATGCGATCGGGCCGCATGAGTGAGGAAGTGTCATAGACTTGTCTCACTGTCATCTCTCTAAGCCACCCAAACTTCATTCATATAATCTAGAACCCTCTCTACCTATTGCCAGTTAGTTTTAGGTTGGATGATGCCTCTAAAATCCTGACACTATGCATAGTCGTCTCTACATCCTCAAAAGTATATCAATTCCTCTCTTGTCATAGGCACCACATGAAGCACATCAATGCCACCTTCCACGCCCTCGTCACCCTTTTCAATTAAAAAGCATCAACAATATGAAGTAATAAAGCCTTTAATATATGTATTAAAATCTATACATCTCCAAAACTACGACATGGATCTTATGGCACAGGCTATTTCAAGTAGTGGATATCTTATAGGCACTTCCTTCTACTTGTACTCAGACGCTTTTGATTGATTACAGAGATTTTGATAATAATAATAAGGAGTGTAATGGGATTATGTACTTTGTGCTATTTTATGGGTTTTTTTTGTTGGAAAGAAATACAACGATTTTGTGGATGAATTTGAGGTGTTAGAAGCTTTGAGGGATAGAATCTGTTACCTCTCATTTTAGGCATCGGTGTCTTCCCCTTTCAAAGGCATTCCTTTGTTTTTTGATTTCTAGATATTGGAGAGCGGTGTGAGAAATGTAATTTTGGTTTTTTTAACTTTTTCTTCTCTTCTTGGTGGATTTTTTGTCCTTTCATTTCTTTCATAACTTTCCTCTTTTCTAATAAAACTTATTTTTTGAAAAAGTAGGACAATTTCACCCCCTCCAAATACAATTTTTTATAAATAAGAATATTATAAGATAAAACATCAAAGGCAATCCAAAAATTGATCTATGTTTTGATTAACCCTTTCGGACCTGCAACAATACAAAATAGCCAAAAGTTACTCTTCCATCTATATAATGATTGCTACTAATCCTGAAAGGTTTTCTAGTTCCTTTATCCCCATTATCCGCATTAACCAAAATGGACCTTTCTTCCTTTTCCCCACTCTACCTCCCATAAAATGTACAACACCTTCGTAACCCACATAGGGTAAACCCAAGAAATCCCAAAAGTGGCCAAATCCCAACAACAGTTTTTATCGTTGACCACATGAAAGGTAACAATAGCATAATAACTCTTAACATTCATGAAAGTAAAATAACAAACTTTCCAAAATAAAATAATAATCGTCAGATGTGAACATAATATATACAGAGCTGAAATGAACATACATCAGGGAGAAGAAAAGGAAAAATAATTAACTAACAAGACAAATGAAATTAGGAATTTAGACGCACACAAATTTAAACAAGAATCAAGTAATCATTACTTTTCTGGGGAAAGAAGCCTTTTTTCTTTGTTAAACTCTTCGAGCCAATCTTCATCCTCGTTGTCCACGTCATACTCGACAAACTCTCCAAGTTCAGCCCGAGCTACGAATAATTGACAAATTTTAAGAATCACATATCAATGGGATCCTGCCGAACAAATTTCCTAACTAAGAATATATAATGAATCTATGTAATTCACAAACCTCCCCTTGCTCGTAAGTATGATGTTGGTTGTGTAAAAGTGCAGGAATAATCTCTTTCATATGTATCCACAACAACAAATTGTGGAATAGGAATTTCCGATGCCACTTTCTTGCTAGGAATTTGTTGTACCTAACAACAGAAATAAAAAAGTTCAGTTCAAGGTACATAAACTACTCAGCACTGAAAGCAAAATTACATGTTCACACTGACTACTGCATAATATTCATATTTTGTAAACGCAATATTAGTCTCATAAATAATTTTTTGGGACCAAATCTTTTTTCCTTTTTAGTTATGGGGGCCATAGCTGCATTTTAAATAGATATGGATAGGAAGCATATCCATTTAAAATGCAGATGAAAAAAAATTAAGTTCCAACAAAATACATGCTCATCGTGTATGGAAGTTTGCTTCATCATTTTCTTGATCAGCAACAAAGAAGGAATATTGTTAATATACTACATACTATTGTATAAAGCATTCAAGGCTCTTGGTATGAATCTTTTCTGTCAAGTTTTTTGTTCCTAAATTATCCTTTAACTGCCAAATTCAAATGCAACTAGAGTAATTGCCAATCTGTAACTGCACACCCATCTGGGTGTGCAAAAAAGGAAAGAGTAAAAAAAAGATACAATGGAGAACTAAAATGCCACCCAAAAAGAGAGAAAATGAAAGAACCAAAATTGTAGGTTGCACATTGGTTATGGGTTCAAGTCTTGGGGCCACTACTTTTTACATTAGCCAAAATTATCCTTTGTCTTCCTCTCCCAAACACACATTAAAGTATACTAATTGGGCGTTGTTTTTTTACATTGCTCTCCAATCTCTAGAAATCAAAAACAAAACAAAATTCTCTTGAAGGGGTTAAAACTGAAGCTCAAAAAGAAGACAAATAACAAAATCTATCCCACAAAGCTTCTAAACCTTCAAACTTGTCCTCAACAATCTTATTTCTCTTTGCCCAAATCAACAAAAAGTAGCACAAATCACAAATTCCCAAAGTACTCAAGCCTTATTATTGGGACCAAAATCCTATAATTAATCAAATCATCTGAACACAGTAGATTGTGCCACCCACTAAACCTTCGTTAACTGAAAAAGTTTATACCATAAAGTCATAGCAACCGGGCAACATAAAAATAAATTATCATCGTTCTCCTTGTCCCTCCTACACTCTGCAACTGAGCAAGTAAAAAACAGCATTGTTGAGCAATTTGAGATTATTCAACTAAGAATTGGTAGAAATTCAAAGAATTCAACTGACACGCAATGTTCTCAAGTCCTTTGGCATTCTTCTTTTTATTGGGCATACAAGATGGTAATTTTTTTTTTTCTATTTCAGTTGTGAGCAATTTCATATCTCTGCAGATTAGAGGTTCTCTGTCATATGTTTGATATTCTAAGTAATACACTCACTCATGTAGAGAATATCAAGAAATAAAATTTCAAATAATGCTCTTTCAGCCATAGAAGGCAAGTTATCTTGGACAAATAGATATACAGATGGAACATCCAAACAGACAACAAGCAAGATCAGGAAGTACGTGGATCAATTATCATATGGGTCTCTCGTCCTCTCAACCACCTCCTCCCCCACAACCTACCTCAAAAAAAAGTGGAAAAATAGTTGGGCCTTTTTAGTCCTGTGTTCGTAAAGGAGAAAAGGGGGAGAAGGGAACTAGGATTTTAAGTTGCAAATGACTAGCATGGAAAGGTCTGTTTCAATGCATTACAGTAAGACTGTGTCACTCAGTAAGCACCGTGGCACTTATATCATAATAATAGCCATTTGAAGTAGTGAAACATGACAGTTCTTTTTTTTTTTTTTTTTTTAACAATATTCTTATATCAACACTAATGAACAAACAATGCCTCTCCCTTCCTCTCCCCCTCTGAATTGATAATATGCATCGGTTTTGTTTTTTTTATGCGCATGTATTTGAGGGGTTGGAAAGTGTTAGGATAGCATTAGCTAGGTTGGCTATTTTCGATGAAAAAAAAATTTGGAGTCCAAAATTTTGGGGCTTTGGGATTGGTAGGTTCTCTAAAGTATCTAGTGAGATTGACACATCAATGGATCTTCTTCAACATGTGTTGATGTATTTTTGGGTTTCATTGCTCTTATGACAGTTCCCAACCCCCCACACTTCACTGCTGTAATTCTCACTACTTCTATTATTTTTTGTTTCTTTTAAAAAAATCTAAATTTAGTCAGCCTACTCACTCAGGGCTTGAAAGGAGCACAAGAGCTTAACTTGTGTGTTGGGCTCACTTAACACTCAACATCAGCTCAACCATCTGTATTCCTAAGACATGTGGTTGCTTACTGATCAACAAGAGCTCAAAAGCCTGGTTTCCTATTAAGTGTGCTCAAACGCTAGCAGCATTTACAGAGAGCTAGTTTAACCTTTTTATGACTTTTTTGCAACTAAATCATTTTTTAGAAGACCAAATCTCATCATTTCAGAGGTTGACATTTATTGAAGCTTGATAACTACTTTCTCTCTCTAGAATTGCTTCATAACTTGTTTATCAAGCCTCCATTGATGAATCTCACGTGTTCTTCAATCTAGAGATCAAAATCACGAGTTAGATTCATGCAATTCTGTTAGAATGTATTTATTTACATTGAAACCTTCACAGTACACTTCATATCCCTACAATACCATGGCCGTTTGAACAACAAAGCCATTGAAGACAAAGATTGGAGCTTGGAACTTCATGGTGACTATTGAATCTACAGAACTTAATGTGTCAATCAAGGCCATTCAGAGCAAAGATCGAGCTTCTTGAAGCTTGTGGTGGGCACAATTGTTCGTAAACTTGAGTGAAGTTGTAATTTCTTCAATTATGCCTTGCAACTGTTTGATTTAATAGTGGAAATTTTTTGGGAGTCAAGATCATGTTTTCATACCGTGAGATTGTTTTTTCCATAATGTTTTCCAAGTTGACTCGTGAATCCCATGGTTGATTGCTCTATATTTGTTTGGATTGATATATATTGATGAATTAATTGCACAATTGATGAATTGATGGATTAACTACTAATTGTCTAGAGTTCAATTGATCATTTGCTTATTTTAAATTTGATAGTAATTCGCTGAATTTTCCTATTCACCCCCTATATGTACAATTCCATATGTGCTTTGCTATTTCATAAATGATTGTTATCTTCAAAGATATTCACCAAGGGAAAAAATAAATGAATACGACTCGGTGCAGGCCTCCCTAAAATTAGGAAATAATTAACAAATGTAACAGTTTTTATATAAGCAATTATGTACAACTCACACGGTGTATAAACAGCATGAAGAACAACAACTAGAAAACAAGGAATACAAACAGAAGAGAAGCAACATCACGAACTCCAAACAGAAATAATACCTCATTTTCAGCCTCTGCAGTGATACGATACTGCGAATTACGGGTAGAGGTGGGGGTCTCTTCATCCTCAAAATCCTTTACAGATTTTACAATGGGTAACTTCTTGTGAATGTCGAGAGGCCGAGGCCTAATTGACAGTCTACTCATATCAGCTCATCTCCAAATCAACCTAGCCTCTCTTTTTACTTTCATGCCACCACCCTAGTTGCACTACAAGAACACCCGCAAAGCAAAATTTGAACCAAACCCAAAACCCATATGAACAAGAATTAACGGTTAATAGTCGAAGTTATTGAGTGAAACCACAAACCTGTGGCTTCCCTCCACGTTCCAAACCCTAAAATTCTTTTCTTTTTTTTTTTTTCCAAACCCTAAAATTCTTTTTTTTTTTTTTTTTTTTTGCTTTTCCGAGTATAAGGACCTTGTTGCACTTACGTTTCAAACCCTAAGTGCATATATATATATATATGCATAACAACAATATATGCGTGTGTGCATGTTGAGAAAGAGATTGTGCTTACCAGGAAGAGAGAAAGGATGTGCCAGAGCCTTGTGAGACGAAGAGTAATGGTTTACAGGGGCTGTGTTCTAGTTGAGCAAGAGCTTAAATGAGACTACGCGAGAGAGAGAGAGAAGAAGATGACAATTGTTAATAATGGCGAGAGAGAAGGGTATCGAAGCGACAGGGAGAGAGGGTGGGACTCGACACCCAAACCCAACCTCAAACCCAAAAACAGCTAGGTGAAAGAGGACTAGGGAAGTAAATGCGGCCCGGCCCACTCGGGCCTGGGCTTGGGCCGGTCCACTATCGGGCCGTGCAGATTTTCACTAAAATTTGGGCTGAACCGGTCACATGGAAAAGAATTAGGTGCATACCCAAACTCACTCAAAATGGGTCATGGATTGGGTTTGGATTCGAGTTCGGGCTCGGGCTCCGGCCGCAAGTTGGGCCTGATGGGTCCTTTTTTTTTGAGAAAATTATTGATAAATATATTATATATATAGATTTATATATAGATTATTTATGAGAGATAAAACTAAAAAAAATTATCCATAGTATTTTAATTCTGATTAATAAGATGTTTGGTTGTATTTCATGTGATATTTATGACTATGTTTTTTTAGTTATAACTAAAAAAAATGAAGTTATGTCATTTTTTCCTTTAGTTATAAATTGCGTAGATAGCCTTTCCCTAAAAAAAATAAAATGAAATGAATGACTTTATATATATCAAAATGAAACGAAATATTACAATCTTTAAATTAAATAAATAACATTTAATGAATAATTTGTATTTCAAAATGAAATAAAAAATTACAAAAAAAAATTGGGCCAATTAGGACAAGCCAGGTTGGGCTTCAAAACAAACTACTTAGGCCTAGGCTCAGGGTCTCAGGCTAGGTTCAGGCCTGGGCCTAGCCGTAGTGGGTCATGGGTCGGTGGGCCAAATTTACACCATTGAAAAAGGCACAGTAATCTATCTATTTGACTTTGTAGGCATTTGATGCGAGTGCGGGGTACATAGGGCAATTCTATTCGCACACGATACTACATGTCATTTGTATTGTTTGGATGGGCACTGTGTAAGTGATTTTCTAACCACATTGCCCGCTTAGTAACTAGCTGGAGAGCATCGGTAGAATAGATGGCACCTGGCTGACCTGCAACAGAAAGAGAAGATTCCGGCAATGGTTCGTCCACCCTGGGGCACTCCGACGATCAAGTCAATATATCTCTCAAAGATAAATCAAGTGTTAAACTCACAAGCTTGAGTATCAAAAGCATACCTTAGACCCATGGGGGTGCCTCTCTTTTATAGCCAACATAAACCTAGTCTCAATAGAAGCCTAACTTCAATGGACTAAGGATTACTGCTAATCTTGGACTCCCAGTAAGATTAGGATAAACTCTCTAAGAGTCTTGTCTTAATACAAACTGAAGTCTTTTCTCATTCTAGGACTCTTGCCCCTCATCCGCTTATCTCGGATTCCGATATCTTCGGAGGTAACCTCGTCAACCTTGCCGAGATCACCTCGGCGCCACGACCAGGACACGTGGCACCTCAGCTGACACGTCGGCGTCTCCTTGCCACATGTTGGTACTCAAAAAATATATCCCCACAACTGCACCCTAGATTCTATTACCTCGGCATTCTAAAGTGATGGAACCTACACTGTTCGTTTATCTGTGCCCCTCCGTCCGAGATCAAACTCGCCGACTTCAAAGTTCCCTAGACTTTACTGTCCACTTCTGTCAGGTATCAAGCTTCATGCTTTCCAAGCTGCTCGAGATCACACCTCGTAGCCAAGGTTCTTGTTCCATTAATTCGTAAACTCCAAGAGCTTTGCAACTACTCCACTCACATTCTTTGGTGGGCTCCCGACTTCTAGTCATCTATTTGACTCCGGCGATCTTCATATCGGCGTTCATTTCTCTTGGTAGGTTCATAAACTCTTTTATTAAGCTCAATCTTTCATAACTCTTCTGAATCCGTTTACTTGCCCTTTGTTGTCTTCTATTTTCGTCTGTTTTCAAGTTTTGAATTGTTTGAACGCCTGGCACTGTTCTTGCCATATCTGTTTTCTGTTGCTAGCATTGTGTCTGGGTCATTACTTTCTTGTTCTTCACATACTTACTTAGTGCCTGTGCACTTGGCTTTATTCTTGAACTTTGTCGTCTTCTTGACTCTGATTTTTCTCTTTTTTCATTCAATCCTCTGGCTTTTTCTCTTTCTAGCTCTTTTGCTTAAATTCGTCATTGTTCAAAGCTTTCAAGCTCTGCAACTGTTTTCGTTCCTTTCCTCTGGTAAAGCTTACGTCATTCTGTCATTTTCGCATCCATCGTCAGACTTCAGTAATTCTCATTCCGGCTTCCCTTTTTCTAGTAAGCCACTGTTCCTCCTGGTTTTATTTCTTGTTGCTTTCCAAAAAGCTCTGCTTCATTGTTAATCACCATTGCTGTTTTACTCGTTGTTTCCAAATCATCTTCTTGAATACACACTGTTCACACATCTGTTGATTTCTGCCACTGTTCTTGGCTTGATACACCTGTGCAATCTTTTTGTCTTGATTTCCTGATAGCTTCATCACCATTCTTGATTACGAATTACATTCTTGTTTCTGTTTTCTGTGTCTTTTTCCAGATTCTTGCTTTCAATCCTTGCTTTCAAACTCCGAGGTGCCAATCGCCGAGAAGAGCTTTGATCAAACTCTTCGGGAGATTGATGCTGAGCTCGAGGTCGAGAAGGCTGCTGAGAAGTCTTCCCAACTGTCTTTTATATCCTGCCATTGATGCCGAGTAGTTTTGTTTCCTTCTTTTACTCCTTGTACCTTGTACTTTGTCCTTCTTTGTATGCTTTTAATCCGGCTGACGTGTCATTTTTGTAGCCTGAATAATTTATTTTTCAATATTCAGGCCGAAGTGCCTTCTTTCTTCTTTAAATGCATTTCTCTAATTTCTTCTTTAAATGTATTTCTCTAATTTCTTCTTTGAATGAATGTCTTCTTTTTTCTGCTCTTGTATGATTCTACACTTAGAATAATTTGCATGTCTTCAAAGTACACCTTGACTATGCAATCTCTTCGGGTAAAATACCTCAGTCACAACTTCTAATCTTGCCCGTCTCGGCCTTGTCCTAACACTTGAAAATATTGTAGCAAATATTTTCACAAGTGTTGCTTAGGACTAGTCACTTTCTCAATGTCTTCTGTCAAGACTTCAGTTTTCCATATTTCAAGTTTTGACAACCTGGTAGTCTCGGCAAGTACGTAGAAATTGCTTGAGCTTGACTTTAACATGTAAATTTTTCTCAAAAATTTCAACAAGTGTTTTAACCATCATCCTTTATCATAACCTCGGCTTAACTTCAGCTTGTAAATTTTTCTCAAAATTTCAACAAGTGTTAAACCATCTTCCTTTCGATACTACATCGATTTAACTATAACTTGTAAATTCACGTAGAATTTCAACAAGTGTTTAAACCAATCTTCTTCTGATACGACCTCGGTTTAACTTCAACTTGTAAATTTACACAGAATTTCAACAAATGTTAAATATCACATCGGTTTAACTTCAACTTGTAAATTCATACAGAATTTCAACAAGTGTTAAACATCATCTCGGTTTAACTTCAACTTGTAAATTCATACAGAATTTCAACAAGTGTTAAACATCATCTCGGTTAAAGTTCCACTTGTAAATTCACACAGAATTTCAACAAGTGTTTAAACAATGATTTCAGTTTAACTTCAACTTGTAAATTCACACAGAATTTCAACAAGTGTTAAACAATGATTTTGGTTTAACTTAACATATAAATTGTCCACAAATTTCAACAAGTGTTAAACAATGATTTCGGTTTAACTTAACTTGTAAATTGTCCACAAATTTCAACAAGTGTTAAATAATGATTTCGGTTTAATTTAACTTGTAAATTGTCCACAAATTTCAACAAGTGTTAAACAATGATTTCGGTTTAACTTCAACTTGTAAATTGTCCACAAATTTCAACAAATGTTAAACAATGATTTCGACAGAATTTCAACAAGTGGTAAACATATTCTTCTTCTCTCTGCCCCCTGCATGGCTTCCACATACTCCTTTGTGAACCTTATAAAAGGTCTTCAACCTGGCTAACTGTAGTCCAACCTTGTGTGTTTTATTTTTTTATCTTATGGGATTTGAGATCTGCTCACTGAGTTCTTCTCTTCTCGGACTTAAGTGCCAAGATCTTGTCTACTAGAATCTTGGATCTGCTCATACAGGTTGAGCTCTTCTCTTCTCGGACCTACTCATCTAGGCCGAGATCATGTCTTATAGGATCCGAGATCCAGGGTCTGGAATTCGGGATCTGCTCACTTAGGATGAGTTCTTCTATACTTGAATGTTACCTCCTTGAGAGCACTCATGCCCCCTGTCTTTGCATCCCTTCTGGAAGGGTCTTTGTTCTTCCGCAGGTATCTATCCTTCCATACCTGGAGGTCATCTTCGTTGTAGCATCCGCTTCGATCTGTTGTCTTTGGTGCGTCATCTTTTTGGCCAGCGTTTTTCACTCCGTGACTCTGGTCACGAGTTTCTGTGTTGCGGTCGTCTCCTTCAACGCCGAGGTTGATAGGTTTCCCACTCCCAGCAGGAGCGTTGTCTCCAATCTGATCCTTTTGTCTGTCATTGGCCATCTATTCTTCTTTCTTTCATTGGCCATCTATTCTTCTTTCTTTCATTGGCCATCTATTCTTCTTTCTTTTCCACAGACGGCGCCAAATTTCGTGAGTGATTTTCTGACCACACTGCCCGCTTAATAACCAGCTGCAGAGCACCGACAGAATAAATAGCACCTGGCTGACCTGCAACAGAAAGAGAAGGTTCTGGCGGTGGTTCATCCACCCGGGGGCACTCCGACGATCAAGTCAGTATATCTCTCAAAGATAAATCAAGTGCTAAACTCACAAGCTTGAATATCAAAAGCATACCTTAGACCCATGGGAGCTATCTTTTATGGCCAACATAAACCTAGTCCCAACAAAAGCCTAACTTCTATAGACTCGGGATTACTGCTAATCTTGGACTCCCAGTAAGATTAGGATAAACTTTCTAAGAGTCTTGTCTTAATACAAACTGAAGTCTTCTCTCATTCTAGGACTCTTGCCCTTCATCCGCTTATCTCGGATTCCGATATCTTCGGAGGTAACCTCGGCCTATCCGAGATGACCTCGGCATAACAACC